TATAATATAATATATAATTTGGAAATTCGGTGGCGCAGTCTGCCGCATCTGAAGGAAGCCAAGGCGAGTCAGAGCCAAATTCAATCGTATCGAGTTACGAGATCCCGGAGATGCCTTGATTTCCGGCACGCTGGCTGGCATCAACCGGGCCCGTCTTCCGGTTCCCGGCGAAGGAGCCGACCTCCTACCAAAACTGACGCGGGCATGCTCGGGGACGCGGAAAGTCGCGGCTGCGTACATAAATTATGTGGAACGCGCGAGAACGCGCCGCACCGGGGTTCCGTTCGCTGCCAAATGTGCCAGTGAACGTCGTTGAACGCACCGATGCGATGATGTACAATTATCTCTCTGTTCTAATGGAAAATGCTCGAATTTTTACTATTAAAAATTACCTATTACTATTAAAAAGCTGTCTGTAAAATTTTAAATCAATTCATGGGGTTTTTGAAAAATTACAGTGACTTAAAATTTGCATGTATTCTTATGGTAATCACTTTTTCCGTAGGTAATTGGAGTGCCTACNGTCTTACTTTTAACGTGAACAGAAATTGGTACATTTAGCTTAATTGGAATAAGGAAAAAATGGAAGAGAGACATTAGCACGGTTTTCCACGGAGTGAAATAAATTCAGTGAAGACGAACTGTGTTTTACGATCCCGGCGCGTTGCAATATAGCCCTTAGCGAGGTTTCTTCACCAGCGGGCGAATTGGCCAGTCGCCAGAGGTGGATGTCACCAAGGTGCCGTCGCGATCCTGGATTAAACAAACTTTTTAGATTACCTGCCGTAATTTCTCTCGTGCCCACGTTTTTATTCTCCATTCTCTTGCGAAATTTATTCCGAACTTTTGTCCGGCCGCGAACGTACGACGGGATCGGCTGCCGGAATTCGCTATTGGATTCTCGGGGACGTGTGTACCGGCTCGCGATTACCGTGATAAAAGCGTGCGTGGACTGGGTTCAAAGCGCAGGGACGGCGGGACGACTGTACGGAATTGAAACGTGAACCCGGCGTAGGTATCATAAAAGTATCGGATGTCTGTTTTACCGTTCGCGTACCCCGTCGCCGAGGGAATCGAAGGGAGTCGCCAACACCCTTGAGATGAAGGATCAGTTGTCCCCAGTTTCCAACTTCAACGAAGACTGCTTTTCTTTTCCCCGTCTGCGCCCCCTGCGCACGTCTAAGGGTGCTCGAATAGAAGTTCAGAGATCGCGTTCCAGCGTCAGGTAGATCTTAGTATAAACGAATCGGATGTGGTAATGGCGACGAAACGATCGCAAGTTATTAACGAGCGTAAGTCCTTTGCAATACAGTAACAAATGCGAAGGACTTAAGATATTAACGATAAATGATACAATGTAAACTTCGACATGGCAAGAAAGGGGAATTAAATATGTAC